GAGCTACTTGTTTATGGTTTCAACTTTGGTTCAAATGCCAATGTGGGTTATGTTGAGGACTACATTCTAGAGTCGGCAAATTTTCTGCAGTAGGCCTTCCTGTCATGCGATCATCGAATCGCCTAAACCGACAACGAATATTTCATATTTGGACAAAATTCTTTACGATGTAAAGCCGGTGGCCTGAAAAATGGCGTGAATTTCGACAAACGCCCTCAAGCTTTCATATTTCGACATGTACCATCTTAATCAAATGTCCTTGAAATAAAACAATTATTTGACATCCTCATAATGGTTTTATGCTGTAGCATTTTATTGCACTGGTTGGATAAATAATGTACAGGAAATAAGGGCATTTTGGTGTAAACAAAGTAAATTGAACTGATAGGGGGAGCTGTCTGCATCACGAGCCACCTTAAGAAAGCATCTGTACGAGATAGTGTCGTTCATTAAAAAAGGGAACATAGATTTGAAAAGTAAATTGGAAATCACATTTTTGCAACTCTTTTGTATGCTGGAGGAATGTTTACAGACGTGAAGCGGTCATTCGTCTGCACGTAGGCCATAATGCATGCCTGGCAATCCTTACGGGCCACCTTCCCAAGAAAGATCATTTGGAGAAAAATAACACGTTAGCACTACTTTCCAGAAAACACGATAGAACCTGACATCTAGAGTAACTTCAGGTAGGAATATTGAAAATTGGGCAATCGAAAATTTCCTAACGGGTGGAAGATTACAAAATAGCATAAAAGCTAGTACAGAGGCCACAAGTTAGTACATACCGGCAGAAGGGGAGTCAAGCGGCAAAATGAAATGGAGACGAGAAGATATAAATATATATAAATATAAATATATAAATATATATATATATATGCAAATGTATTATCAATTGATACATTTTCTCAATTATTCGGTTATTAAAAGCGTTTAGCTATAAAGGCATATTGGTAACGTAGAACCATCTAAGGATTAAATAAATGGCACAAAGACGGATATAAGATTAGAAAAATAAACAAATAAATAACGAAGCTTACGAATAGAGATATTTGGATATCCTGAAACAAAGATGACTAGATTAACGCATCCCTAAGGTCACAGAAGGATAGTCATAAAGAGGGATAGATGACAAAAAATTGATAAAATAATCGTAAAGTTGCGAAATTTGAGAACAAAAAGGATATAAAGGAACTTCTATTATCCGATCGATGTAAACGCAGATGACTAGCCGATATAGAGAAAAGCTTAAATGGGAAGAATGGGGTTTATGTCCAATCGACTAGGGCAAAAGAAGAGTTATCATAAATAATGAGGAATGAAAAAGGGTTGAATAGATTGAAATAACGGAAGAGATATTTAATGATATATATATATATATATATAATACTAGTGATTCAGCAAACAGGTTGAAAAAGTAAATTATATATATATATA